CAGCTTTGTAATGTTACCTCGGCTGCCAGAGTGCAGAGACCAGGGCTAAACCTCCCAGTGTTCTTAGAACAAACCAAGAAATCACTCTTGTTTTATGGGGGTTGGTGGGACAAGTTGTGTTTTAACTTAGCAAATAAAGTACCAGATGATTTAAACTGTGCAGCTTCCAACCACTTTGTAATCCATGTTGGAGAACTGTTGGTTGGTTTAGAAGATGAACCCACCCATGGGCTGAACTCGTGGTTGGTACAAGCAGCACATGCTCCCAAGGCCAGAGTTGGCTGAAGTTGTGCCTGGCCGTGGCAGTGCCATATATTCTAATGATAAAAATTCATTCAGGCTACTGCAGAAAATAAGACCACTGGAATTATGAAAATTGTTTGTATGAATTACAAGAATTATCTTGTAATTCAGCTGCAATTTGAAAAAGGTTTTAGTGTTTGTTATGGGGCTGGATCCGCCTGCGTGCTCAGCTCTCTGTGGGACCTCAGACATGGCACATCCACTCAGGGTCTCTGTGTGTGGCATGCGAGGGCCAGTCAGTGGGCCAGTTAGCGGGCCAGTTAGCTGGTTGACCCTCACTGGTTGTTACCATCTCAGAAAGAAATGCTCTCAGCCTTGTGAGTAGACCAGCATGTCTACTGTGCGATTGTGTGTGAGAGAGAGGGTAACAGGACTCGGGCTGAAGAGGTGACTGCACTTCTGCTTTTTAGAATCTACCTGCTGAAACCGGCCAGCTTTTACGTGAGGTGCTTTTACAGCAGCAGGGGCTCTCCCTGAGACTCCAGGCTGAGGAATGTGGTGGTGTGAATCTGTCAGACTGCTCCCTGCCAAGAGATGTTTGTGCTCGGAAATGCAGCTTTCTCCACTGTGTGGTTCTGGCCTCACAGACTGTCCTGAACTCCTCAGCTACTGGTGCGTCACAGTCTTTTGGGACTCCAACGTTCTCCCTCTGCCTCCTGCACCGGAAAGATTCTCCAGGGTGTTTCCTCTGTCATAATCCAGTGGCTGCTTCTTTCTCTCCACTGCTGCCATTTTGGCTTTTGTTGTTGCAAAGATGGTCCCCCAAAAAGCTGAAGAAGCAGCCAAAGAGTGAGAAGAGTTTCCAGGAGAATAGAAGGAAACTTTTTCATGAAATTCAAGAGAAATCTTGATTCCACTGCAGCATGTCAAAGCCAGGTCAAGGCATGTTTTAAACTTTACAAACGTTACATTTGCTGCTCCAAGGCTAAACCCACACTCCATATTTATGGACAAGTAGCAGACTTCTCTGGGGATTTTCACTTTCTCTCCATGTCCATGTTCCTGTGCATTTGTACAGGACAGGCAGTTCTGGTGAAAGCATGTGAAAGCAGCTAGACCAAGTTTGACTCACAGTGCATTGCAGCCCTCAGGAAAAATACTGATGACAACGCCCTAATTAACAATCTGTCCAGCCTCAGGTTTCATGACAGGGCAGTGGAGTGCTCTGAGGAACTTCCAGCTGTTCTGCTTAGCCAGGTCTGAAAACCATGGTTTGAATGAACACCGGGCTCCCGAGTGCCAGTGACACACTACACAGATAAAATTACTCAGAGCCCTAAGTGCAGGAGTTGCCTGAAACATGCCATATGGCTGAGTTCAGGGTCAAGCATCAAGAGCAGACTGTCAGAATGTGGTATCCGGAAACCCCAGGGCTCAATTTCCTAGAGCTGTTCTCTGTGCACAGAGACCAGAGCAGACGTTGCATCACCTTCCTACTCATTGAGTCCTTGCATTCATCATCGTCAGTGAAGGTTATAGGATGTCATCTCACACCATTTCAGAGGTTTACTCTTTACCAACAGGAAATTTCCAGCCTTGGTGTGGACTGGTCACCTCCCTCTTCTGTTAGTTGTAGACTTAAAAAGAGATGTTCATATTTTAAATATGGTGCAATGACATCAATAGTAATAATTATTGCATGCATCAAAGCTTTGGAGATTAACCACGGATCATGCATCTAAATGGCAAATGGTTATAATAGCTCCATACGTGAAACATCAAAGTCTGAGGAACGTTGCTCTGTTATAAAAAATACATCAGAATGATCATTCCACTCCAAGCAAAGTGCAGAACTGTAGACGTGCATGGAACAAATGCAACACATTTCATACTCATTTGGGTGTTTCAAGTATGGGAAAAATTGATTCCACAGCCCCAATTACCAATCCACATCAAGTGAAGACTGTTTTGAAATTATGAGATTTCACACAATATTAGGCTTAAGTTGACTCCTCCTTGTGAAAATGTATTTATAATTAGGGCCTAGAAAAGCAAGAAGCAGTATTTGGGGTTTTAAATTTTTATATGCTCCCTGGCAGAGGGAGAAGTGGCTGAGATTGCATAAAAATCTTAAAACCATGATGTTTCAAGTATCCTTTTGCTGAATTGAAATGGCTTTCTCATAGATTAAAGGAACTGCACTGTTGTTTTCTTTGTTAGGAGAAAAGTATTCCAAACTGAGAAAAGCACAGCCTCTCTCTATTGAGCCCGGGGACAGCTGCTGGAATAAGAAAATGCAAAACAGTCACTAGAACAACAGAACCTCTGAACTCAGCAACTGAAATTGCCAATTACAGACGTGCTGCTGTTTCTCCTCCCTCATCACAGCTGTTTAGCTTGATCACTCCCCCAGCCCCGGTGGGACGAACAGTGTGAAGGATGCGGTGCCATGCATGCTCTGACAGCCAAATCAAAGGCCCAGCCGAGTCAGTGCCTCAGCTACGAGTCTGGAGGAAATCAGAGACCCTCATTAAAGTTTCAGAAAAACCTAACTGGTATGAGGACAGCATTCAAAAATGTATTTGGGGAAAACAAATATTGTTTTAACTCTATTAATAATTGATGTGTTGCCAGCAGAGATCCTTATAGCATTAAGGGAATTGAAAATTAAAGGCACAAAGACACGACTTTAAGAAAACACATTGATAAATAATTAATATGGCATAGGCCTACTGGAATCTAAAGAGGGTAGATTTTAGCTTGTCTTGTCAAACCTATGCTTTCTAATACCACAGTTTCTTCCAGAATGAGAGCATGGTCATTTTCACTTTATATCGACAAAAGCTCTGGTTGTTTATGCTGCTCAGCTGGAATAATTTACTGACTTCTGTGTCAGTTGCTTGTGCTGAGAGCCCCTAGGATCCTAAGTAGTACATACCCAAAGATCATAGCTTTCTTAAATCAAGTGGGGAAAAAAGATTGATGATTATTTAGAAAACAGAGAGAAGAGAACGTGTCTATTTCAGGGAAACTACTGTTTGTCAGGGTCAAACTGGATCAGAGGAAGAAACCTTGGCAATGACTGTTTAGCAATATGATGTACAAATGGCTGGGAGAGGTGTCTTGGCATGTGTAACACCCAGGAACAGCTACTGCTTTAGTCTGTGTGTCTCTAGAGAGATGCATTTTCAATGGTGAGGCCAATCTTGGGGACTACACTGAATAATTCAGTGGCTGGCACTTCCCCTGTGCATTTTATCTGATGAGGATCTTAAGGACAATAAATAGAGCAACCCAGCATTCCGCAGAATACAAGCCCATCAGCATGACTAAAGAAAGCACTGTAGAATGTGCTAAAGGAAGTAAATATGGAATTTCTGGATTTCCCTCCAAAGGAGCTCTCTACCAGCGCTGTGAGCAGAGCCTGGGAGAAGCAGCGTTCAGAGACATGGCTGAAGAGTTCAGCTGATGTACAGCTCCTGACATGGAGAAACACCGTGGTTTCAAAACAGAATACTGAGCACTGTGTTAACTAATAGAGCTTCTACCATCTCTGAAACCCTGTGCGTTGCTGAAGGGTGTAGGAGCTCTTTAAAGTACCAATTTATTCCAGTCCACTCCTGTCTTTTGGGTTGTTATAATGAAGCAGCTAGTAAGTCAGGCATAATTGCTGGCAGGCATTCTAATTTAAGAAACTGCACAAGAGCATCCACAGAGCTATGTTTATCATTGCATTCCTTTAAATAAAGCAAAAGTGAATGCTGCATCTTCATTACAAATGTCTGTTCTTTACATGCAAAAGGTTTGTTGAGATTGATGGGATTCATAAACAACCCTTTATTTACTACAGCAAAGTTAATAATTAAGTAGAAGAGAGAATATCCATGAATGCTATTATAAAAGTAATTCTTGCCCTACTTCTGAGCAGGAAGCGCATGTAAATTAGTGACTGAGAACGTAAGGATGATCCACTAGAACTACAAAGGGGAGTCAATTTTTTCCATTCTGGATAATGTAAATGTAGTGGTCAGACATGGCCTCAGTATATTGGTGAGTGTGTTCTGCCTCAGGTAGATGCCCCTTTCACCATCCCCCAGTACATGGACCGCATTCATTGCATCCACCCTGTGCTGAGCAGGAACTCACCATTCCTTCTTGCTGCTGTGACCCCTGCTTGCTGTGACCACAGGCAGCAAAGTCAGGCCCTTGCTGGAACTTGAATGTGAAAAGTGTGGGCTGGGACTCACTGGGAAAGTCGGGACAGAGAAAGGGTTGTGGAAAATCATGCTTCTTTGCTTTCCTGGTGCAGAGGCCTTCTATCCATCCTGGTGCTGGCTGGTGGGGTGAGCTTCCTTGCCTTCCAGACAGCGCTATTGTTATTTAAGATGCTGACTCCGGGAGCCTCATACCCATCAGGCAAAGCTGAGACTGTCTGATTTAACAAAGCAGGGAAACAAGCCAGTCAGAGTTATCTCGATCTGAAGCATATTCTAGGAGTGATTAGCTGCCTAAACTTACACTGTAATTATCTGTGCTGAGTGGCTTCTGCACATCATTGCCATTTTTCTGAGTGTTTTTATTTAAGTTGATAATGGAAAATGAATAAAGCCTTAGTTCCACTCTGATTTTGACACTTGTGCCAGAAAATATCTGAAGATTAACATTTTTGTGTTCACAATAGTTAGATTAATATTAATTTGCTGGCATCCAGCAAGCTGATTAGTTTTCCTCTGATATGGCTCAACTTTGTAATTACAGGAACTGTCTCCTCCTGGTTTGTGCCTGGGGTAAGATTCTCAGAGGCGTCCTGACATCACCGTGACCATGATTTCACCAGGCTGACACTCTGCAAGGTTGTCATAATCTGAAATCTCTGCTCCTGGAAAGAGGTACGGACTGGGACCTACACTGTCCATGACTTCATTTAAACTGAAGGGAAAGAGACTTGAAACAGGATACAGCCGTGTCAAGTCTCAAGGAATGTATGAAATTCGCAGTTGTAAGCCAAGCTGGCCTTGGTGACACAGCCCACCTGGTGCTGCAGGTGTAGGGGTGACTCCACAGCACTACAGTTTGTCTTACACTGGGTATGGGCAGAGCTAACCGAGGCAACAGGAGATGCCCCCCTTGGTGGTGATCTTCTTCTGATCCTGAGGGATGCTACAGGCAGGTGCTACTGGTGACAAGCCATTGAACAACCTCCAGCACCACCATGGAGGACACCTGAGAGAAAGCTTAATGTGGTATGGAGGCCTGTTTAGCTCGGGGCCTCTCTGGTCACAGCCATTAGGAGATCCTTGTGAAAAGCCTATAGCAGGCAGGGCGTGGATTACATGATTATTTGCCCATGGTCCTCAGAAATCCTGCTCATGGTCTGTCTGGAGTAGTGGTTGTACCTGACCATCGCACTGAACTACCAGGTGGGGCTGTGCTCCATGAGTGTCTCTGAAGCCTCTTAAAACCCATGAATACATCTGGGCTTCACAGTGTTCTGGGCTAAGAGCCCCATTCAATTCTGGGGTCATACTGCCCTTCCTCTTTCAACCTGATACTGAATAATTTCACTGTCACCTCGTGATTCCTAGTGGTTGTACCTGACCATCGCACTGAACTACCAGGTGGGGCTGTGCTCCATGAGTGTCTCTGAAGCCTCTTAAAACCCATGAATACATCTGGGCTTCACAGTGTTCTGGGCTAAGAGCCCCATTCAATTCTGGGGTCATACTGCCCTTCCTCTTTCAACCTGATACTGAATAATTTCACTGTCACCTCGTGATTCCTGTGTTGTGAAAGCAGGGGCTAGTGCACATCTGGTGTGCTCTGCTGACTGTGTTGTGAAAGCAGGGGCTAGTGCACATTGGGTGTGCTCTGCTGAGCCCTCCTGCTAGGGACAGTCCCGTCCCTCCTGCTAGGGACAGTCCTGCTTTCCTGACTGCATTTGTAGGTGAGTCGACTCCTGGAGTTCTGCTGGACACTCCCGAGGCAGGCAGAGGGCCCTGCCTGCTCCTGGGGAGGCAGAGGCAACAGGTAAACTTGCATCCTTTCCTCCCAGAATCATGGTCCCAATGCTTCCTTCACAAATGGAACTACAACCTGCCACTCAGTCGTCCAAGTGATTAAGCCTTCCTTATTTGCTTAGAGACCAACTATGTGTCGGAATCAAATTCAGCCTTTAGAATTAACCCATCTTTACTGCCCATTAAGTCTGGATTCCCCTGACCAGTCATGCAAAGTAACATCTCGCCTTAGTGCCATATTCATCTTGCACTGTCAGTTTTACCCAACTCCTAAGCACTCAGTAATAGCCAGACTGTCAGGGTGTTAGTTATTCATTAGTTTTCACTCACTTGAAGAATATATCGTTGTCATAATATGGCACATTGCACTGGGAACAAACTCCCCATGCAGACAGGGATTAGGGCCATTTTTCAAACGCTGCTGACTGTTAATTTGTACATTGTTTGAAGGGAAAAGGTCTTCTTAGAACTCCATTTTGAACATTACTTTGACAGAGCATAGTGGGCAGTTTTCACATCCTTTCAGATAGCTGGGGGACAAATGGGTGCTGGTGACAGGGCTGCAGAGCACTAACCCCTATGTCAGTGTGTGCCCAGTGCCAGCTCTTGTTCGTGCACCCAAAGCTAATCAGGTGAACCTCATCAAAATCCACTTGTTCAGCAGCTGACTCTACAATAGCTGCTGGCTCCTCAGCCTCCATCCCTCATCACTGTGCTCCAGAACTGTCTGCCGAAACTTGATCAATGAGATGTTCAGATATTTTGTTTAGCTGCAGTACAATCCTGGCCAGGTGAGAAAAGCACCAGGTTAGTGCCACAATGAACAGAGCACAGGTAGTAGCCAGTCCATGGGCACCTGGTCTACTCAGGAGAAGGTTGGGAAATAAGTCTGGTAAAACTGGGAAGGAAAAGTTGATCTTCATATATGGAAAATGTGAAGATAGCCACAAGTCTGCAAGCTGGTGTGGAGGGAACATATCTGTGGTGAGAAGGGGAGATGATTTCATGCCACCTATAAGGTTCCTGTTGTGTCACCAGCACTGGGGAGAGCTGGGTCAAGGACCTTCTGCAGTAATATTGTTGCTGAGATGCATTGCACCTCAATTCTGTGTGCCCAAAGGGCGAAGCAGGAGGTGTGCCGTGTCTGTGCAGAGCTGGCTTCTGGTGGAGCTCAAGGAAAGCAAGTCAGGCATCACCCTCAAGTCTGTCATCTTGTGTCTCCTCAGCCCAGAGGATTGTTAGGTTTGAGGGCAACTTAATGATGGAAAGGAGAATTGATTAACATTCAGAACTGCTCCATTATTGAACAACTAGAGCAGATCTTCTTTGTATTGAACCTGGATGATCAGGGGAGCGGGGAAGGAGTAGGGCTGTGTGTCTAAGCCAGGGTGCTTGCTATTCTCAGCTCTTCCCAGTTACTTTTCATCATCTGTATGGCTGCCCCCAGAGAGCTCTGGGAAGGAGGGATGGCAAATACTGCAGAGCTCACAGTTCAGCTATCAGCTCCCACAAGCTGAGTGTCCTGTTTGCTTCTAGACTGAAGCAGCAAGTGGAACAGCCGTGGCTGATGGGTTGTTCTGAGCTGCGACATGTCTCCGGTCTGCCTTCACAAAAGGCAGAAAAATAAAAAAGGAAAATTAATCTCTCAAGGGGAAACAAATCAAACCAGCAACCTCTGCTACAGCTCGTAGCTTGCTTAAACACAAGCCTGGACTAGAACATTTGTTGCAACCATTTAGTGACCCATGCTCTTCCCAGATTCATCTTCTGAACTGGAAAAAGCAATTTGTCTGCCCATGTGCCCTGAAGTACTGGTATTTGTTAAATCCACATGCTTCGAAAGCCCTAGAATTGAACTACTGGATCTGTAGAGAGAAAAGCAAATAAAGCCAGCTGCGATACGCCCGTTTCATCTAGATAATATTCTGATAAGGCCTGATTTATTACCTTTATGTCTTAAGGCCAGGCAAGCCTCTTGGGGTCTCACCTTTGTTCCAGTCATAAAGTACGATGGGGCAGAAGGAGGAGAGTTTGAGAAAGGAGATCCAGAAATCCTATTTGCTTGTGGAAGTCTCCAGGTGCTTCTTTTCCAAGCTTTCCAGTTCACACAGTGCTGTCTAGTCGATCAGTTTGCTGGTACGTTGGCTGTCCCTCTCTTGGTGCCAGGCTCATGCACACTGCCATCGGCATGGGATGCCAGCATCTCCAGGGCATGGTGCCCATGGCTGCCCAGGGTGGCCATAGCACTTATCCTTCTGCACTGATCTCCTTTGCAGAATCTGACTTCCCTTCTTTGAAAAATTATTCAGCCCAGGCTGAAACCAAGTTATCAATGACAAGAACAATCTGAATATCACCTGTGAACTGGGGTTAAATAATAAGGCAAGACAAACACAAGGCACACAGAGGGTAATTAAAACCATGATACCTAGGGATCTACCTGAAATTGCAAAATAATGCATCTCAGTGTCTTAATTCTGCCCAAATTAGCAGTGCTTAAAGAACTGTTGACAGTGTCTGCTAGCTTTGGAGATTGTGATGGGGTGAGCAGAACATCAGAAGAACTTTGGTCTCCCTGTCTCATCTCTGGGACCCTGGAAGAGGCACTCCATTTCTGTGTCTGGCTTCTCTGCTGGCTTCCCTGCAGCTCCCCACCAGAGGTCCTGAGCTCTCGTCGTGGGTGGGAAGGGAGAAGGTGGGTGCAGGATTTCCCCAGCGAAGGGCCTGCTCTTTCAGCCAGATGCTGCTGCTGCTGCAGGGGCTGCCATTTTGTCGTATTATTCCTTCATGTTTTGAAGTTGAGGAAAAAACTGGAGCAGATGAAGGATCAAAATCTTTGTGGTGTCCAGAACCTTTCATGGGGAACTTCGAGTGAAATCATAGAAATCTTCCAGGAGATTGGTTCATTTTTAATGATATAGGATTATCGTTTGTCTGTTTAATTCAACCTGAGTGACATAATATCTTTCATTTGGACTTATTACCAGCAGAGCAGTTAGTCAGTTGGAAGCAGATCTAGGGCAGGGCATTTTGTCATTATTTTAAATTTTCTCTATCTGACAAAATTGAAGGCCTTGAAAAGACTAGAGCCATTGTAAAGGATAGAGCATCAGAGAATAGGTCACACAGTGTATTAAAGAATGAAAATTGATTCATTCTTTCCTCTGTTGAATAAGCAGCTGTACTTTGGTCCCTGTGATCCATGAAATAAGCTGTCAGGGAAATAGGAAATGTGCCACATTTGAACTTCACTCATTGATTCCGTTCTGATCCGAGGTGCAGTATTAAAATGCATTACACTGAGTGCAGAAGCTGCAGCAGTGACAGCAGCTAGGCCTAGCTTGCTAGTCAGTTGTCTGGGTTATTTGCTATTAAATTAATCAGCACTTTTACAATGCTGGGACTCATTTACTTAGGTCATCTGGTCAGAGCCAGCTAACAGGAGGAATTTCACAAAAGTGACGTTTGTTAGTTTTAAATAAAATCAAAGGCACAGAGGAGACTCAGGAGGAGTGGTTCTAACAAGAGCTATTGGCCCTTTTATCTGGAGAGGCAATTTTCAGGCAGTTCAGAGATTCTGACAGTAATCAATGTAATAAGGGGTAGCAGAGACTTCTAGAATATGGGATTACCAGTTGGAGCACGTTAGGCCAATTAATGCCTGCAACTCTAATAGGCTGCTTAGGTGCAGAATGAAATGGAGGACTTTCCCATTGCATAAAAACCATACTTACCTTCATTTTTTATATCAGAACACATCTTCCTTTACACACCTTTTCCCAAGTAAAAAATGAACCTTGTTGTGCTGTCCTCAGGTAACATACAGAGGACTGCCTGAACTATTATTTGCTATGGTGAGTCTGCTTTATCCATACTGAAGTGTCTTCCGCTTCTTCTGTGAGTTCTTACAAGTTTTATTAAATAAAATATCATTTTTGCTGCCTTTGCTTTATTTGCCTCAAAACTGTGATTCATAAAGATGGATTTTTATAATTAAGGTAGAAATGAGAAATAACCCCCTATATATAATTTAAAATGTTGAAATTATAGACACTATCTAACTTCTGCTTTAAATCACAGGAACAAACTGTTCCCCATTAGCAGCCCTAATTAAATCCATTTTTCTATGAGTCTTTGGCAAATTCCATTTTAGTAAAGCTGTATTAAACTCTCTTTTATTTCTTCTTGCTTTGCAGAATTCTCTGTTTGAGATGAATAATAGGTTGAATATGGTATGTGACAGCTCTGTAGTCTCTGAAGATATAACATGAACAAATATATTCTGGAAAACTGGTGTTAGAATGCTACTGAGGATTTAGAAGGATCTCGACTACCAGACAGGTAGGAGCACTACCATTCTGGCCTGGGGAGTTCATAAATGGTGCAAGACTTTGCAAACATCATGTAGCAAAGAGACTGTGGAAAGCCAGAGGAGAGGAAGAGAGGCTTGGAGAAGGGGAAGAGAGGGAGGGTACCGAAGCAAGCAGCACGTCATTCTCCCTCTACACAGCACATTCAGGTGTTGCACTCCTGAGCTCTAGTCTACCACCCGCTGTGCCCTGCTGGTGTTGTCCTAGCCTTTTGTGGGGAATGAGCAGCTGCAGAAGAGATGAGAGGAAAAAACTTACTGAGGATAGCCACTTGGCTTTTATTCAGGATGTGCAGTCATATAGAGGTGTGTTCTCTTCAGGGCTGTGCCGAGTTGCCTGTAGCATCTGTCTTTGTGTTGAACCCATTTAGCAGGGGCCATGCTCCTACTGGACTCAGATCTGTTTCCATATGTCATCCTAGGTCACTGGTATTGCACATAGACAGCTTTGTTAGGCTGATGTTCACTGACAACTTGACTGAGGAAGCAGTGCACAGACCAGAGAACCCACCTGAAACAGCTTCTTGTTTTGCAGTCCTTGTGTGTGAAGATTAACTTACTCCCAATAACCTGCAACAGCCCCAGAGCAGTAGGCTTACTCCTATCCTCAAGCGGCTCCATCATTCATTTACTGTAACGATTGGCTTCAGCCTTCGATTTCCTCTGTGGAGCATATTGGAAAGAGAGAGGCTGAGCTGTGAACATTAATAACAATGAATAATAACAGTACGAGTTCCACAAGCTTTAACAATCAAATGAATCAACAGTCAGGAAAGTTTCATTAATAAATACTTCCTGGGATTAGGTGACAAGGGTGCTAGTGCCAGAGGTGTGTGTATCAGTTAAAGGCACTTATCCTGTGTGATCCACCTCTCAGCCCCTTTGCTTATGTGCTAGGTCCCATGTTCTCCTCCGTGATCTGCTACGGAGGGGGCAGGGAACAGGAGGAGCACAGAGCAGGCAGCTTGCGCTGTGTTCCTCTGTTGCTATCTGTATTGAGTTTATGTGGCAAGATTTTGGGAGTGGGGGTGCTGTAAAGGTGGATTCTGTGAGAAGATACCAGGAGCTGGCCCCACGTTGGACAGAGAGAGTTCCAGGCAGGTCCATGACTGACCCACCACTGGCCAAAGCTGAGCTCATCAGTGACAGTGGTAGCGCCTCTCTGATAACTTATTTTAGGAAGGGGTAAAAACTGCTGTGCAACAGCAGCTGGGAGAGAGGAGTGAGAATACGTGAGAGACAACTCTGCAGACACCAAGGTCAGTGAAGAAGGCAGGGGAGGAGATGCTCCAGGCACTGTAGCCCATGGTGAAGACCATGATGAGGCAGGCTGTCCCCCTGCAGCCCATGGAGGTCCACGGTGGAGCAGATATCCACATGCAGCCCGTGGAGGACTCCATGCTGGAGCGGGTGGGTGCTCTGAAGGAGGCTGTGACCCTGTGAGAACTCATGCTGGAGCTGACTCAAGAAGTAAGGTGCAGCAGCTCCATGTGCCACCTCTGGTTCACTGCCTTCATCTTTGCATGGGAGCTTTTTCCACTGCCAAGGCAGTGTTATAGGGTCTGGGGTGACTTATACTCCCTGAACAGAAGTTGGTATAATGTTCTGCAGTTTTACTTTTAGAAATGAAGTAGCTTCTTTGTGACTCAGGGGTAAATATTCCCCTTGCAAAGCCATCAAAGCAAAAGCTGGGAAAGACCTCTCAGGTTACAGGATATTCCCCTCAGGACAGAGTGAGAAGTGCAGGGTAGGGCTATTTAGCTCATCTTTTGTAGCTTTCTCTTTGGGTGAGCTGAACCTGGCCTGGTTTATAACCTTTTATACAGAGCAATTCCTGTGCCAAGAGGAACAGCCCTGGTCATTTTACTATAGCAACAACAAAAGGAAACGCAGGCTTTGTTCAGTGTGGTTTAAAATCCAGTATAGAGCAATTGTCATTCAGCTAAGGAGGGTTTGAGGGCCAACTACCAATGTGTTCATTCATTTCAGGAAAGGAGAACATCATCTTCTGTAATCATGATTAAAGAAGCTGTTAATGTCTCTTTCAGGTTCTCCTGTTACCTTAAAGAAATAGATGTGGGTTTCTTTCTTTGGAATTTGCAGCAGATATGTTATCTGCCTTTTTTGTCTGGGCTGTTTGAAGTCAATTTTGTGAACTTCCATGTTTTAAATAACACAAACTGTTTTCTATTAGAAGGCCCGCCCTGAGGCACATGATGCTAACAGAAAGGACAATTGGTTTGGTTTCAAGAGAAACCACAGAGTTCAGGGGTAAACTAGAGCTCTCTACAGTTACAAGGGGTAAAACTAGGACCTGTTGTGCTGAGGATCTGTGCAAAAGTTAGGCTGCCTGCCAGGAAAAGATACCTCCCTTATAAAGGCATGGGGTTTCACCTAAAAGACAGGGACTGTGAACCTCATTCCAGCATGTTATCTCACCATTTCTGGCTGCTTTTATGTATTCAAGTGACTTTGTTCCAGTCTCTGAACCTCCTCCACCCTGCCATGCTGGCATGTAGGAGCTTTCATCAGGCTCCACATCACAGGCTAATTATCCAGTACGCGGCAGATGCTTGTGGTAAGCAGGCTTTAGCATGGCTTTTTGACTAGGGCAAGCATGTTATGCTGCTGGGCTAGCAAACCTGGGCTACCTCTGGGTGAGCGTGGAGAATATTTCACAGCCCTAGTAACAGACCTAAGCCCTTTGCATACCTGTGCCCGTGATTAATTTTGTGCACATCTGGCCCCTGCATGGCAGTAATGGAAGTGCTGCTGGCTCAGATGAATCTTTACAGTAAAAGTGCAGATTGGCACTTGATTTCTGAGAGCTTAGTGCCACCTTTTCCTGCTCCAAAATAGTGTCTCTGTGCTTGTCTCCTGATATGTACTCTGTGACCAACATTTTTTGGAGTGTAGAAGTGCTATAAGGTCACGATGTGTGTGTGCCCAGAGAGAGCAGCCATGGGGCTTCAGGCTCCCAATGGTTTTTGAGTCCCTTTTCTCTTTGATGGCATCTGTTGGTTCAGCCACCCAGCACCTGGGCAGGTCAGCATTGCTGAGCACATCTGCTGACACCCAGTGTGGTCCAAACTTTTGACCTCTGAGGTTTGCTCACTCCTTTGGGCTTCATTCCCAGACTGGTCTCATGTCACAGGCCTAACAGGGCTTGTAGCAGTAATGTACAAAAACACAAGACTGACTTGCAAAATGAACAAGTATATCATGAGAGAAAGCACCCTGGACTTCGGTGGCTTCTTGTGCTATAGTTGTGTGCGTGCAATGTGGCCAGAGTTGTCACTGGGGGAACCCCCAAAGCCAGTGAGGTGTCACCCCACAGACATGTACTGAGTCCTGTGGCCTTCTGTAGTTTTTGCCTTTGGACTAATTAATGCTGTGCAGTCGTCAAAACTATTTTCTCTTAGTGCTGTTGCTTTGCATCTCATCTTTGTATTTTGGTATCCTGTTGTCTAATTCCACTGAATCCTCCTCTTGGCATCAGGAATCTCTTTTGTCAAGTGGATCAGCTGCTTGGCAGCCTCAGAGCTCTCCATCTTGTTCGTCTGTAGCCTTTGGGCTTCTTTGCCTTTCTGGGTTGCAGAGACTATGGAGAGGTGCTGAAGAACAACTTGTAAAGTGCCATGTGATGGTTTGTCTTTGTGGAAGTGCTGTTCCTGAAATGTAAACAACATGCAGTGCTCTCATTTTTGTCCTTGATCATGCATGGGAGTCCTTATTTCTCAAGGACCGCTGGGACCCATTTGAATTGCTCCTTTAAGTGAAGTCCACCTGACAGTTGATATCCAAACTTCTCATACAAGATGAAAGTGCTTCTCCTTCCATGATAAAGCTCTGGCCATTGCTTTTTGACTGCCATGCTGGGGTATGCTCTCAGCGTGTGCGAGGGCACTGCATCTAGAGCACTGGCAGCTTGGGGCTCTGTTGCCTTAACTCTGCAATTGCTCTGAGCTCTCAAGCTGGACATCTGGGTACACTTACCCAGTGGGGATCTGTGATCAGAAACGCTGTGAGTGCTCCTTGTGTGTGAATGGCAGCAAAAGAAGCTCCAGGCTCTGGAGGGAGCCAATTTGCAAAATGCTGACCAGTCACATCCGCTTCCCAGTCGAGGGGGGCTGTGAGGTGTGGTGTCCAGGCCGGGTGCCAAGGCAGTGCTTTACATTCTGTCTGAAGCTCAGCTGTGATTTTGATGGATAGGATATCCATTCTCAGTGCCTCCCTAATCTGCTGGCTGTATACAACTGCTTCTTTCTGCTTCTGATGCGGGTAAAGTGATCCCACACCAACAGTAAGGCTGTACGGCCATCAGACTTGCAGAAAAAGTTATATGAATTAAATTATAATAATGATTTAGTGAGATGCTGTTAGCGGTTATGAACTCAGCCAGAAATATAGCCTGTTCAGTCTGTTCTGAGGGTGGGATTTGTATTTGCCTCTTTTCTTGCTGTGACGAGGATTGTCATTGTATTTTCAGCAGAAGGCCCTGCAGTGTGTCGTGCTGGACATTTCTAAGGGCTCAGTAGATTTGTCATCACCATGCTGCTCTGTCTGTGTACTTTATTCCCTGATTCTGTTGGTAGGTCTGTTTTGTGTTGCTCTAGCAGTCTGTTGGATTTCACTCTTTACCTACAGTTTATTTCCTAATGCTCTCAAGATCAGTGTAAGGAGATCTTCACTCTTTTTCCAGGCCATGTTTGGAGTCTTGACAGATGCGGTCCCTGTGTGTTGGTAATGCAATGGGAGATCACTGGGGAAGGCCAAAGCTGTTACTGGCTCACAAGAACATAGAGTCATGAAACAGCCCTGGAATGTGTAATATCAGTTAAAAGTGACCAATGCAGATATGAATGAATTATTAAATCTATTAGCATGGGGCTGCCATAATGAAGTGTCAAATTCTTCACAAAACCAATTCCTATTAAAAAGACCCAAGATTAAAAGCAGAGTAGATTCTAAA